GAAGGCTGGTCAAGCCAGTTCTTTCTACTTTGTTTACGAATATAAAGATAGCTGTTTAGGATATTTTGTTAAAGTTTTGTAAGATTTTTTTGGAAACGCTCGTCCTGTTTCTTTTCACCAGCAGGTGGGTTGCTGCAAACTTAATGTCCTCTTCCCTAAGGTGGTTACCCTGGGTAGCCCGTGTCACCCTGGACAGACTTGTTAAAAGACACAATAAAACCGAACTTGAATTCTGTGTGTTGCACATTTTTTTGTAAAGAGAGAGATGAGAGAGAGAGAGAGAGAGAGAGAGAGAGAGAGAGAGAAATTTTTAGTATCTATTTTTCAGTTTTCGGTGGACACAATATCTTTATTTTTATGTGGTGCTGAGGATCCGAACCCAGTGCCGGGTGCATGCCAGGCGAGCGCATTACGGCTTGAGCCACATCCCCAGCCCTGCACATTTTTTTGTTGTTGTTATAACACACAGAAAAAAAGGTGCCCGAGATCATGTTTCTTGTATGTTTCCCATGGTTTCGTTTCCAACTGGAACGTTTAGAAAAACACAAGAACGTGCATTTTTAACAATTCCCTGGGGGCACCAAGAAGCCGAGGGTAACTCCTCAGTTTGAAGTTTGGAAAGCGTCTTCAGACAACCAGGTGAGAGGCTTCTAAAAGCGCGAATGGTCACTGGTTAGCAATCATGACAACCGTGTGCTTTGACAGACATTAGGGGTAAGAAAGCGTGTGTCTGTGTGTCCCTTTACTGCCACGTACATAAACAGATCACGAAGGATGTGGGCTTCCTGGTGGGACAACTCCATCGGTGAAGCTAACCCTGAGGCTTTCCTACCTTGGAACTGTGCAGACACGGGGGAGGCACTTGCTGGGGAAACTCTCTGCATGTCCTAGAGTAAAGAGCACTGGCATTTCTGCTCCGGATTCTTCTTGCATCTTAATCTCTCAGCCATCCCGGAGCATCTGCTTAGCCCAGTGATACATACCACTAGGATCTCAGATGCAGAACACCGTGACAGGTACATGGTGTCAGTTAGCATCCCACTTTAAAAGCAGGTTAAATTCTTCAACCAAGCTCTTCAGCCTGGGAATGGGCAGCAGAAAAACCGTCCCTTGAGCTGCTGCTCCTCTCTTGCCAAACCTGGGTACTGAGGCAGGGGATCGGGAAGCTGGATCATCTTTTCTTGGAGCATCCTCGGGTTAGAATCCTCCTTGCTGTGGTCAGCAGGCACCGGGGCTCCCCGAGCTTTGCCTGCGACATCCAGACTGTTTCTAAGCGAGTCTAGAGGGCTGGTCCTCAGAGCTCCCTCCGCCTTGGTACAGAATGTGCCGACTACTTAGGAAGCATTATTTTTGCAGCCCTTGCTTAACAATCCTGTTAAGAACAATCCTGTTAAGAACAAAGCTGTGGGCTGTTGTCTATTTTAAGTTACATACTGGACTGGAAACTATTTGAATTTGGCTACTTTTGCATAAATTATGTTCAAAACAGAGACCTGCCGTGTTTTTTTAATCCTGGCTCATCCTTCCAAATCACATGTTGTTTGCCCCCTTTGAATCTCTCCTCTCCCACCCCACTCTGCCTGCTGGGCATCAGCCGTGACCCCCACAGCGGGAGGAAGGCTGTGCCCGGAGTCTGTCCACCCAGATAAAGTGCCGACTGATTCCCAGCTCACGTCAGTCCTGTTACTATAGAGCCTCAGATTGATTCTACGCACCTAGTGGCCAGGATGGACAGGTAAGGGCTGTGGGAATGGAGCTGGAGCAGCCCGGGATGTCCTTGTGGAGGAGATCGGAACTGGGCACCGGCTTTGGAGACCGGATGGGGCTTTCATATGTGGGGGCAGAGAAAAGCCTTTTGGGGACCATCCTGTGCAAAGGTCCTGGAGCATACAGAGATGTC